TATATATATATATATATATTATATATATTATATATATATATATATATATATATTATATATATATATGTATATAAAGTTGACAGAAATAAATTTACACATAAGAAAAATAAAGGTTTGTCTTTCATTTTAAAATTATGTAGACAAATTAAAGAGGCTTTGTAGTGAAGTGAAGTTAGTGGCTGTTGTTTCTCATGATCTGTGTTCAGTGTTCACAGCTGACCTGTGTTCATATGTTCACAGCTGACCTGTGTTCAGATGTTCACAGCTGACCTGTGTTCAGATGTTCACAGCTGCGTCAAACTGAACATAAAATGCACTATTCATATAGATTCATTTTTTTTATTATAGGTGAACCTAATTATAGAATATCTATATTTCTCTGTTTTTAAGCTCATTATATTAATAATAATTAACATAATAATAATAATTATTTTTTTGGTAGATTTGCATAACGTAGCATCGGCTTAGTTCAAAAATAATAACAAATATTCAGCCTACAGAGAACGTTCAGAGCTTGCTAATATGTAATATGGAAAAGAACTATGTTAAAAGATAATCATTGAAAAGAACACAGACACTGAGGACATACACTCAATATTCCTCAAAAAAACTAAATATTAAAAAAAACGTCAAAATTTATATACATAAAAGACTGCAATAATATTTATAAGTTTCTGAAAATTAAGTATTAGCAGGAGAACTTAATAACAGGAACAAATCCTGTTTTTGGGATGACTGGATCAGTTAATGATAATTAATTGTAAATATAATGAAGGACGGGGAAACCAGCCATTTTTTGGGACGTGTGGAAAGAGGGACGCGGAGGGGGGTAGATTCCATTAAATTGTGATACTAATAAAAATTATGGACTAAAGACGTAATTAAGACATTACATTACATTTACCAGAACTCTTCAATGAAGTCATTATGTAATGCTAAGAACCTTATTGCTGAGCACTGATACCCAGCACTGGTACTCCAGCTGTTACTGAGTGCTGATACCCAGCACTGGTACTCCAGCTGTTACTGAGTGCTGATACCCAGCACTGGTACTCCAGCTGTTACTGAGTGCTGATACCCAGCACTGGTACTCCAGCTGTTACTGAGTGCTGATACCCAGCACTGGTACTCCAGCTGTTACTGAGTGCTGATACCCAGCACTGGTACTCCAGCTGTTACTGAGTGCTGATACTCAGCACTGCTACTCCAGCTGTTACTGAGTGCTTATACCCAGCACTGGTACTCCAGCTGTTACTGAGTGCTGATACCCAGCACTGGTACTCCAGCTGTTACTGAGTGCTGTTACCCAGCACTGGTACTCCAGCTGTTACTGAGTGCTGATACTCAGCACTGCTACTCCAGCTGTTACTGAGTGCTTATACCCAGCACTGGTAGTCCAGCTGTTACTGAGTGCTGATACCCAGCACTGGTTCTCCAGCTGTTACTGAGTGCTGATACCCAGCACTGGTACTCCAGCTGTTACTGAGTGCTGATACCCAGCACTGGTACTCCAGCTGTTACTGAGTGCTGATACCCAGCACTGCTACTCCAGCTGTTACTGAGTGCTTATACCCAGCACTGGTACTCCAGCTGTTACTGAGTGCTAATACCCAGCACTGGTACTCCAGCTGTTACTGAGTGCTGATACCCAGCACTGGTACTCCAGCTGTTACTGAGTGCTGATACCCAGCACTGGTACTCAAGCTGTTACTGAGTGCTGATACCCAGCACTGGTACTCCAGCTGTTACTGAGTGCTGATACCCAGCACTGGTACTCCAGCTGTTACTGAGTGCTGATACCCAGCACTGGCACTCCAGCTGTTACTGAGTGCTGATACCCAGCACTGGTACTCCAGCTGTTACTGAGTGCTTATACCCAGCACTGGTACTCCAGCTGTTACTGAGTGCTGATACCCAACACTGGTTCTCCAGCTGTTACTGAGTGCTGATACCAGCACTGGTACTCCAGCTGTTACTGAGTGCTGATACAGCCTGGTACTCAGTGTTACTGAGTGTGATACCCACACTGCTACTCCAGCTGTTACTGAGTGCTTATACCCAGCACTGGTACTCCAGCTGTTACTGAGTGCTAATACCCAGCACTGGTACTCCAGCTGTTACTGAGTGCTGATACCCAGCACTGGTACTCCAGCTGTTACTGAGTGCTGATACCCAGCACTGGTACTCCAGCTGTTACTGAGTGCTGATACCCAGCACTGGTACTCCAGCTGTTACTGAGTGCTGATACCCAGCACTGGTACTCCAGCTGTTACTGAGTGCTTATACCAGCACTGGTACTCCAGCTGTTACTGAGTGCTGATACCCAGCACTGGTACTCCAGCTGTTACTGAGTGCTTATACCCAGCACTGATACTCCAGCTGTTACTGAGTGCTGATACCCAGCACTGGTACTCCAGCTGTTACTGAGTGCTGATACCCAGCACTGGTACTCCAGCTGTTACTGAGTGCTGATACCCAGCACTGGTACTACAGCTGTTACTGATTGCTTATACCCAGCACTGGTACTCCAGCTGTTACTGAGTGCTGATACCCAGCACTGGTACTCCAGCTGTTACTGAGTGCTGATACCCAGCACTGGTATTCCGGCTGTTACTGAGTGCTGATACCTAACACCGGTACACCAACTGTTACTGAGTGTTGATACCCAGCACTGGTACACCACCTGTTACTAAATAACTGATATCCAGCACTGGTACACCAACTGTTACTAAATGACTGGTACCCAGCACTGGTACAGCAGCTGTTATTGACTGATACCCAGCACTGGTACAGCAGTTGTTATTGACTGATACCCAGCACTGGTACACCAATTGTTAATTAGTGACTGATACCCAACATTGGTACACCAGCTGTTATTAAATGACTGATACCCAGCACTGGTACACCAGCTGTTATTAAATGACTGATACCCAGCACTGGTACACCAACTGTTACTGAGTGACTGATACCCAGCACTGGTATACCACAGGTAGTGTTGGCACGCCAGTGGCAAAACAGTGATGGAGTGAGGGATGATGAGCGTGTTTCTTCTCTTTTGGGTCACCCTGCCTAGGTGGGAAATACCTGGGTGTCTCATTTAGGGTATCTTCATTTAGGGTATCTTCATTTAGGGTATCTTCATTTAGGGTATCTTTATTTAGGGTATCTTTATTTAGGGTATCTTTATTTAGGGTATCTTTATTTAGGGTATCTTCATTTAGGGTATCTTTATTTAGGGAAACGTCTCGCCAACCAACGCTTTTTGTGGATTTATCAAGGATTATGTACTGAAGACAGAGAAGGAGAAATAATCAGTCCCTCAGCATTGACAGGTTCTCAGTAACTTATCAAGGCTAAGGTATCAAGGCTGGATATGAAGGACTCTGAATATTTTGCCTCGTTCGAGCAGCTTATGACTTCAGAAAAGGTTAGATAGCTATATATTTATGACTCTAGGCTATATATTTAAACTCTAGGCCAGAGCGTAAGCTCTGGCCTAGAATTTAAGGTTAGTTTACAGGCGTGTCATTACGATTTCGTTAGTCAAAATTTCATATCTTGTGTTCTGAACAGAAATTATGGAGATGTCTGTGAAAAGTTAGTTTAAGCAACAGTTGGAACGTTGAATGTCATCATACATTCATTTATTGAAGGTCCAGGAGGTCCAGTTCTCTGGCAGCCACCAGCCAAGTGTAATTGTTACCTTGACTAGTGAAACCTGAAGCCAAGTGTAATTGTTACCTTGACTAGTGAAACCTGAAGTCAAGTGCAACTGTTACCTTGACTAGTGAAACCTGAAGCCAAGTGTAATTGTTACCTTGACTAGTGAAACCTGAAGTCAAGTGTAACTGTTACCTTGACTAGTGAAACCTGAAGCCAAGTGTAATTGTTACCTTGACTAGTGAAACCTGAAGTCAAGTGTAACTGTTACCTTGACTAGTGAAACCTGAAGTCAAGTGTAATTGTTACCTTGACTAGTGAAACCTGAAGCCAAGTGTATTTGTTACCTTGACTAATGAAACCTGAAGTCAAGTGTAATTGTTACCTTGACTAGTGAAACCTGAAGCCAAGTATAATTGTTACCTTGACTAGTGAAACTTGAAGCCAAGTATAATTGTTACCTTGACTAGTGAAACCTGAAGTCAAGTGCAACTGTTACCTTGAATAGTGAAACCTGAAGTCAAGTGTAATTGTTACCTTGACTAGTGAAACCTGAAGTCAAGTGTAATTGTTACCTTGACCAGTGAAGCCTGAATTCAAGTGTAATTGTTACCTTGACTAGTGAAGCCTGAAGTCAAGTGTAATTGTTACCTTGACTAGTGAAACCTGAAGTCAAGTGTAATTGTTAACTTGACCAGTGAAGCCTGAATTCAAGTGTAATTGTTACCTTGACTAGTGAAGCCTGAAGTCAGGTGTAATTGTTACCTTGACCAGTGAAGCCTGAAGTCAAGCGTAATTATTACCTTGACCAGTGAAGCCTGAAGTCAAGTGTAATTGTTGCCTTAACCAGTGAAGCCTGAAGTCAAGTGTAATTGTTACCTTAACCAGTGAAGTCTGAAGTCAAGTGGAATTGTTAAAGTGGAATTGCCTGTTACTATAAATATTACCATATAATTCGTTGTTCAGTCGAGAAAAGTTAAAAGAAACGAAATCTCAATTGAGTGAAAAATCTGTGGTGAAAAAATGAACTAATTTTTAATTTAAATACATTACAAGGTGGAGAAGAATTACATCTCTCACACAGAGGTGATGTAAATGTAAAGACTAATGAATCTTGGTGACCAACAGAGTGTAATGCTAATTGTTATGATTATTTTTGTGTATATCCATCGCGAGGCCTGGTCATGGACCGGGCCGCGGGGGCAGTGACCCCCTAAATACCCTTCAGGTATACTCCAAAAACATGATAACAGTAATAATTAGGAAGTAGAGAGATAGATAGAGATAGAGAGAGAGAAAGAACGAGAGAGAGGGAGAGAGAGGAAAAAAAGAGCACTAACCCTAATAGTCCTCATGTGTTCCTTCTTGGCTGCCTTCGTCTGCCCACAGAACTTCTTATAAAGCCAGCTGAGGAGATAGTAGAGGCTCTTGGGTGCCGGGATGATGTTGAAGGGGGGCGGACATGTCCCTCCTTCCTCAAAGAAGCTAATCCATAACTTGCTCCTGGCGAACTTCCACTCGGTGTCTGCCCGCTCCTAGTGTATGTGTGGGCGTGAAGGTTGGTTAATTAGGAACAAACGGGAAGCAGCTCGCTAACTTCCTCACATACACCATGCGCATGCCAAAATAGAGATAAGTGCAATATATATATATATATATATATATATATATATATATATATATATATATATATATATATATATATATATATATATATATATATATATATATATATATATATATATATATATATCTTTACACACACACATGTATATAGATAGATTACAACAGGCTCTGTAATGTCTGATCAGGCCATGAGTATCTTTTATCATCACCTACATCTACGCAAAAAAATATTAATCATTACCAACATGATAAAAAGTAATAAAAATCCCATAACGAATGCACATACACATTATATATATATATATATATATATATATATATATATATATATATATATATATATATATATATATATATATATATATATATATATATATATATATATATATATATATATGAAAACAGCAGACGCTTCAAAGATTTGCAAAATTTGTGTTTTTTAGGCAGCAACCTCAAAAGTGCTGATGTGAGTCATGCTGTGTGACGCTCGCTAGAAAAAAATCATAACAAAGAAGTGACCTGGTGATGGAGAATGACCCAGGCAAACTCTGACCACATATCCGTTATTAAAAATCACATTAAAACACCATTATCGGGGAACCAACATACGTACTGCATTCACTCAATTTTTCATTTTATGCATGAATTTTTTTTTGAGGGGAGGTATTTAAGAATCATTATTTTTTGTGTGTTTATGTTAGAGTATTACAATTGACAGGATATGTTGTTATCTGATGTTGTTTAAGTGACTGTATCATTCCATCACACCAGGTAAATTACAGCCAGAGCTTTATCTAAGAAAAATACATCATATATGTATATATATATATATATATATATATATATATATATATATATATATATATATATATATATATATATATATATATATATATATATATATGTATACATATAATATATATATATATATATATATATGTATGCATGTATGTATGTATGTATATGATCAAAAGTTAAAAAAGAGGTTTATAGCAGTATCTCATCCTAAATGAAGTATTTACTGTTAAATGTAAGTTGAATTTAATATTGCTTAAGCTGTAAGTAAGCTGTGTGTCGGTCGCAGCTATATCAGCACTAAGAGCAAAGCTATCCAACCATAAGCATATCTTACTTATGAACATGGGAGAAACTCACAGCAAGTGAAAGAAAGAGAAAAAGAGTAAAAAGGAGATAAGGGAGGGAGGAGATAGGGAGAATGGGAGGGGATAGACGGAAACTAAAAAAAATAAATCCAAGGACGTTTAGGGAACTGGGACAAGACTTAAAAAAAAGGGAGGTGGGAACGATAAAATTGTTTTAAAAAGAGTAATGCAAGGAAAAAATACCAAAGGGGCATTACCTTGAAACCACTTCGTCCCTCGATAGGTTTAAGTGAACAAAAAGAAGGAATAACAATGTCTTAGTTGAGATGCAAGATGTGTATTGAGATAGTGAGAGACAATCTTACACACGAGCCAGCTCTCAGGTGGTCAACTAGAACATATTCTAAGCTTCAGCTCTCAGGTGGTCAGCTAGAATATATTCTAAGCATCAGCTATCAGGTGGTCAACTAGAACATATTCTAAGCCTCACCTCTCAGATGGTCAACTAGAATATATTCTAAGCTTCAGCTCTCAGATGGTCAACTAGAACATATTCTAAGCTTCAGCTCTCAGATGGTCAACTAGAATATATTCTTAGCTTCAGCTCTCAGATGGTCAACTAGAACATATTCTAAGCTTCAGCTCTCAGATGGTCAACTAGAATATATTCTAAGCTTCAGCTCTCAGATGGTCAACTAGAACATATTCTAAGCTTCAGCTCTCAGATGATCAACTAGAACATATTCTAAGCTTCAGCTCTCAGATGGTCAACTAGAACATATTCTAAGCTTCAGCTCTCAGATGGTCAACTAGAGCATATTCTAAGCTTCAGCTCTCAGATGGTCAACTAGAATATATTCTAAGCTTCGGTTTACACTTTACATTCAATAATGATTTTCATTTCACATTTTTTTTAGTTATGACACTGGAAAAAAAACTGGTAGCTCATTTTTTTTTCGAAATCTGTTACTTTAATTTTCAGTACATGCTGCAAATTATTTTTCTTAGTATGAGTTACGTTTTTCACGATTATCTTAAAATTATTTGCAAGCAAAATATTAATTTATTGTTTTTAGAGACAAAATCAGAGAGAGGAAGCAATGACAAGATTTAAGACGTGAGTTTAGAGAAGTTATAAGTTACCAGGTGTCAAGTCTGTCAAAATTCACTCAAAGAGACAAAGATTTACTGATATAAAAGATGAACCTTTTCTCATTAATGAAATTCTAAAAAAAAATAAAAACGATTCTTGAGAAATAAGCTTTTCTCTTTAAAACTCTTAAAAAATATGCTTTATTCTTAAAAAAAATAAGCTTTTCTCCTAAAAATCTTAAAAAATAAGCTTTCACTTAAAAAAATGCAAAAAAAATAAGCTACACTCTTAGAAAATAAGATTTTCTCTTAAAAAATCTTCAAAAAATAAGCTCTCCTCTTAAAAAAGTTATTCCATAACATGCAAATTAGATGAAGTGGCTCTAGAGAGCCTGGCAGTGTGTACAGCAGAACACTAGAGAGCCTGGCAGTGTGTACAGCAGAGCACTAGAGAGCCTGGCAGCGTGCACAGCAGAGCACTAGAGAGCCTGGCAGTGTGTACAGCAGAACACTAGAGAGCCTGGCAGTATATACAGCAGAGCAATAGAGAGCCTGGCAGTGTGTACATCAGAGCACTAGAGAGCCTGGCAGTGTATACAGCAGAGCACTAGAGAGCCTGGCAGTGTGTACAGCAGAGCACTAGAGCGCCTGGCAGTGTGTACATCAGAGCACTAGAGAGCCTGGCAGTGTATACAGCAGAGCACTAAAGAGCCTGGCAGTGTGTACAGCAGAGCAATAGAAAGCCTGGCAGTGTGTACAGCAGAGCACTAGAGAGCCTGGCAGTATATACAGCAGAACATTAGAGAGCCTGGCAGTGTGCACAGCAGAGCACTAGAGAGCCTGGCAGTGTGTACAGCAGAGCACTAGAGAGCATGGCAGTGTGTACAACAGAGCACTAGAGAGCCTGGCAGTGTGTACAGCAGAGCACTAGAGAGCCTGGCAGTGTGTACAGCAGAACATTAGAGAGCCTCACAGTGTGTACAGCAGAGCACTAGAGAGCCTGGCAGTGTGTACAGCAGAGCACTAGAGAGCCTGGCAGTGTGTACAGCAGAGCACTAGAGAGCCTAGCAGTGTGTACAGCAGAGCACTAGAGAGCCTGGCAGTGTGAACAGCAGAGCACTAGAGAGCCTAGCAGTGTGTACAGTAGAACACTAGAGAGCCTGGCAGTGTGTACAGCAGAGCACTAGAGAGCCTGGCAGTGTGTACAGCAGAGCACTAGAGAGCCTGGCAGTGTGTACAGCAGAGCACTAGAGAGCCTGGCAGTGTGTACAGCAGAGCACTAGAGAGACTAGCAGTGTGGACAGCAAAGCACTAGGGAGCCTGGCAGTGTGTACAGCAGAGCACTAGAGAAAGCATGGCAGTGTGTACAGCAGAGCACTAGAGAGCCTGGCTGTGTGTACAGTAGAGCACTAGAGAGCCAGGCAGCGTGTACAGCAGAGCACTAGAGAGCCTGGCAGTGTGTACAGCAGAGCACTAGAGAGCCTGGCAGTGTGTACAGCAGAGCACAGGAGGTAATGTTTATCATCACTCATCACTGTGTATAGAAAGGTCTTGTCAGATATACTGAAAATTTTTACACATGAAGGTCTAAAAACAATCAATGAAGTGGAGGAGTTCGAACCAGCGGTTTCTGGACCCCGTCATTCCATTATATTTACTCCAAAATTGCATGAGCTCCAGCTCCTGGTCTGCACCTACCTGAGAGCTCGCGCCGTTTAAAAAATGAAAACATGTAAGTACATAAATATTACACATGCATTTAGCTCAAAATGGGATAAATAATAGGCTAAGTAATAGAGAGGAGACTCGAAACACGAGTTGGATGAGACATCATCATAGGGATGGATGAGGGAGAAGAAGAGGGTACTCATACAGAAGAAATACGAAGCTTATTCTCACCCCTTTACTCATAACAGGAGACGATAACACCTGACTATATTATATTATATATATAATATATATATATATATATATATATATATATATATATTATATATTATATATATATATATATATATATATATATATATTATTTATATGTATATATATAGTATATATATATATAATATATATATATATATATATATATATATATATATATATATATATATATAATATATATATATATATATATATATATATATATCTATATATATATATATATATATATTTATATATAATATACATATGTATAAGAGAGAGAGAGAAAGAAGTATTATTTATTTATATATATCAGCGAATATCCTGTGTTTCGAAAATCCTTTTGAAATGTAGTGTGTCTATATATATTTAGTACTTCAAAAAATATTAATTGAAAAAAATTCCTCCCTAAACCAAATTGTATAGAAATCCCATATCACTTGAGAATCAGTATATATAACTGTTGTGGTGAACAGTGATACATATATGTATCACTGGTCCATTGAAGAGTGATATATACATGTGTCACTATGTGATACTGATGCACTGGAAAGAGTGTAGGAAAAATGGATATCAAGAGAGTAGTGTCACTATGTTTCTGTCTCTCTCTTGATGACTCCACAACAGTGCTACAACACTGCTACAACACTGCTACAACAGTATCACAAAGGTGCCACAAGTCTACAATGGTGACCTACTAAAGACTGTCAAGTGATGTGGAATAATTTGCTGTTAATAGTGCAATTATGATAAGAAAATCACAGTCAACAAAGTTCGGGTATCACTGTGGTATA